GGCTCGGCCCGGGGCCGCGGGGATGGCCCGGGCACGGCTGGGCACGGGTGCCTCGGTGCCCGGGCACGAGGACGGAGCTGGGCCCGAGCTCTGCCCCCGGGGCCGCTGCTCCCGGAGCTCCTGCGGGGCCTTGGGGGCTCCGGGGGGCGCTGCCCTGCCCCGGGGCCCGGGATGCAGAGGGATTGTCCCTGCTGGACTCCCAGCCTGTCCCGGCTCAGTGACAGCTCTGTCCCCGTCCTGGGCCCGGCTCAGTGGCAGCTCTGTCCCGGTCCTGTCCCGGCTCAGTGGCAGCTCTGTCCCCGTGCCGTGCGGGCTCTGTCCCGTGCCCGCGGTGGGCAGGGGTCCCCGCGCTGTCCCCAGGTGTCCCCAGCAGGGCTCGGCTGTGGCCAGGGTCCCTGTCCCGGAGCCGGGCGGTGGCAGCGCCGCCCCGAGCGCTCGCCGCGGGTGCCCGGGGAGGGCCGGGGGGGCCCCGGAGTGGCCCCGGGGGTGGCGGGGCTGGCAGGGACCCTGTGCAGCGGGCTCGGGCCGGGGCCGGGCTGACGGGGTCCCCTCTGCTCCCCAGACAGATGCAGAGCTCCGTGCTACGAGTACCCCGCGTGCCCCGACGTGCTGAAAGGCGAGTGCTGCCCGCGGGGCTGGGCCGGGCCGGGGGGTGCTGGGGCTCTTTGGGGTGCCCCGAGCTCAGAGTCCGTGCTGAGCCCCTTTCCCCGAAGTGCCGGAGGTTCCTCCTGGCTGTTCCCGGGCCGGGAGCGGCGCCGGGGGCAGCTGGGGGGAATGGCAGCGCCCCGAAAATGGGGGCGGTGATTTGGGAGAGCTGCCCCGAGCTGTCCCCGTCCCGCTCGGGGCTTCCCGGCGCGGTTCGAGCCGCTTTTGTGTCCCCAGCGCCGAGGGAGGAGGTGGCCTACGTGACCTGCACCTACAGGTCCACCTGCATCGAGCAGCCCGATTTCCTGGCCACCGTGGACCTGAACCCGCGCTCCTGCACCTACGGCCAGGTAGCGGGCCCTGCCGGGCTCCGGGGGCGGGACCGAGCCGGGGCTGCGGCCCCCGAGCGCTCCGGGGCCGCGCGGGGAGCTCTTTGTGCCCGGGGAACCGAGGGAAGCCTTTGCCACTCTGTCCCCTCTGCTCCCGGCCGCTCCTGGGGCTCCCCAATCCCCGGGGCCGCTCCCGTTCCCTCCCGGGGCTCCCCAATCCCCGGGGCCCCTCTCGGGGCTCCCCAGTCCCCGGGGCCGCTCCCGTTCCCTCCCGGGGCTCCCCAATCCCCGGGGCCCCTCTCGGGGCTCCCCAGGCCCCGGGGCCGCCCCCCGGGCTGTCCCGGCTCGGCTCGGCTCGGCCCGGGCTGACTGCCTTGGCCGTGCCCAGGTGATCCACCGGCTGCCCATGCCCAACCTCAAGGACGAGCTGCACTGCGCGGGCTGGGGCCCCGCCTGCGGCTGCTTCGACAGCGGCGCCGCGGCCAAAAGGAGCAAGCTGGTGCTGCCCGGCCTCATCTCCTCCCGCATCTACGTGGTGGATGTGGGCTCGCAGTGCCGGGCGCCGCGCATCTGCAAGGTACGGCCGGGGCAGCCCGGGAGGGAGCCCGGAGGGAGGGAGGGAGGGAGGATGGAGCCTGGGCTGGATCCTGCGCTGCCGGGAAAGGCGCCCGGCAGGCGGAGGCTGAAAGCGGCGCCGCTTTTTGCAGATGATCGAGCCCGTGGATGTGTTCTGGAAGTGCAACAAGGGCTACCTGGCTGTCACCCACCCCCTGCCCAACGGGGACGTGCTGGTGGCCAACATGGGCGACCCCGCTGGCAACGGCAAAGGTGAATTTTCCCACCGGGATTCCCATTGCCCTGCCCACACTCCCACCCCGGGGTCCCGCTGGGAACTCGGCAGCCTGGCTTTGGCACTGCCCGTCCCTCGTGTGTCCCAGGTGGCTTCGTGGTGCTGGACGGAGAGACCTTCGAGCTGAAGGGCAACTGGGAGAGCGAGTGTGAGGCTCCCCCGACCGGCTACGACTTCTGGTACCAGGCCCGGCACAACGTCCTGGTCAGCTCGGCCGGGCTGGTGCCCAAGGTGGCCGGGCGTGGCTTCAACCCCGATGACCTCAAGAAAGGTGGGGACAGGCGGGTGGCTGAGGAGGGGCAGGCTGGGACCCCAGGTAGGCAGGGCCGGGCTGCTCCCAAATCCTGCATTTCCCTGTGCTCTCCCAAATCCTGCATTTTCCTGTGGCTCCCAAATCCTGCATTTCCCTGTGCTCTCCCAAATCCTGCATTTCCCCGTGCTCTCCCAAATCCTGCATTTCCCCGTGCTCTCCCAAATCCTGCATTTCCCTGTGCTCTCCCAAATCCTGCATTTCCCTGTTCCCTCTCCCTAGTTCCTGCATTTCCCAGTTCCTGCATTTCCCCGTGCTCTCCCAAATCCTGCATTTTCCTGTGGCTCCCAAATCCTGCATTTCCCTGTGCTCTCCCAAATCCTGCATTTCCCTGTGCTCTCCCAAATCCTGCATTTCCCTGTGCTCTCCCAAATCCTGCATTTCCCTGTGCTCTCCCCAAATCCTGCATTTCCCTGTTCCCTCTCCTCAGTTCCTGCATTTCCCACTCCCTCCATTTCCCAGTTCCCTTCATTTCCCATTTCCCAGTTCCCTCGCCCCAGTTCCTCCATTTCCCATTTCCCAGTCCCTGCATTTCCCAGTCCCTGTATTACCCAGTCCCTGCATTTCCCAGTCCCTCAACTCCCCTCTCCCCAGTCCCTGCATTTCCCAGTTCCTGCATTTCCCAGTTCCCTGCATTTCCCTGTTCCCTCTCCCTAGTTCCTGCATTTCCCAGTTCCCTGCATTTCCCTGTTCCCTCTCCCCAGTCCCTGCATTTCCCATTTCCCGGTTCCCTTTCAGTTCCTGCATTTCCCAGTTCCTGCATTTCCCAGTTCCCATTTCCCAGTTCCCTCCATTTCCCATTTCCCAGTGCCTGGAATTCCCATTTCCCTCTCCCCAGTCCCTGCATTTCCCAGTCCCTCAACTTCCCTCTCCCCAGTCCCTGCATTTCCCATTTCCCGGTTCCCTTTCCCAGCTGGGTCCCGGCCGCTGCCCTTCCCGTGCCCGTGCCCGGCAGGAGCCCCGCGGGGAGCGCTCGCTGTCCGGGCCGGCCCCGAGCCTTTCCCCCGTGTCCCGCAGGGGTCTTCGGCCGCCGCCTGAACGTGTGGAACCTGTCGTGCCGCAGCCTCACGCAGTGCTTCGACCTGGGCGAGGATTCCCTGCCGCTGAGCGTGCGCTTCCTGCACAGCGCCGAGGCCGCCGAGGGCTACGTGGGCTGTGCCCTGAGCGGGGCCATCTTCCGCCTCTACCGATCCTGCGAGGCGAGTGCGAGCCCGGGGCAGCGGGGCAGGGGCAGCGTGGTGAGCCCATCGTGCCCGGCTCGGCTCGGCTCGGCTCGGCTCGGGGGCAGCGCGGTGAGCCCGTCGTGCCCGGCCCCTGCAGCGGGCACAGCCTGCGGGGTGACCCCAGAGCCCGGCCGGTAACCCCAGAGCTGGCTGGTGACCCCAGAGCCTGCGGGGTGACCCCGAATCTTGCCTGAGCCCAACTCCTGCCTGAGCCCACAGTCCCGGTCCCTGCCCCAAAGCCCGGCTCAGCCCAGCCCCGTGTGCCGGGCCCGGCTCTGCCCGCGGCCCTGAGCCCCGGCTCTGCCCGCAGCCTTCATCGCCGACCTGGTCATCAGCCCGGACGACCGGTTCCTGTTCGTGTGCAACTGGCTGCACGGGGACATCCGGCAGTACGAGCTGGCCAGGAACTGCAAGCCGCGGCTGGTGGGGCAGGTGAGGGGCAGCCCCGGGCCGGGGGCCCAAGCGGGGCCGGGGGGCCGGGCCGGGGAACGCTCGTGTGCCAGCGCCGCCCTTGCAGGTGTTCGTGGGGGGCAGCATCCTGCGAGGGGGCCCCGTGACCGTGTGCCGGGACGAGGAGCTCAAGTGCCAGCCCGAGCCGCTGGTGGTCAAGGTGAGCGGGGACAGGGGGACAGTGAGTGTGAGAGTGAGTGTGAGTGTGTGTGTGCTCACCTGAGCGTGAGCCTGCTCTCACTGCCCCTGGGATCCAGCCCTAGGTCCCCAGTAACCCCACTCCCAGTTCTCCCAGTGCCACCAGCCCCTGTGTCCCAGTGCTCCCAGTACCCCCAGTGCCCCCAGTCTGTGTGTCCCAGTGTTCCCAGTGCCCCCAGTCCGTGTGTCCCCGTGCCACCGGTGCTTCCAGTGCCCCCAGTTCCCAGTGCCACCAGCCCCTGTGTCCCAGCGCTCCCAGTACGCCCAGTTCCCCCAGTCCGTGTGTCCCAGTGCCACAGTGCCCCCAGTCCCCGTGCTCCCAGTGCCCCCAGTCCGTGTGTCCCAGTGCCCCCAGTCCGTGTGTCCCCGTGCCCCAGCGCCCCCAGTAACCCCAGTCCGTGTGTCCCAGTGCAAGCGCGTGTACGGCGGCCCCGCCTCGCTGCAGCTGAGCCTGGACGGGAAGCGGCTCTACGTGACCAACTCCTTCTACAGCACCTGGGACCGGCAGTTCTACCCCAGCCTGCTCAAGTGAGCCGCTCCCGGCTGCCAAAGGCTCCCGGGCCGGGCGGGCGAGGGGAGGGGGCCGCCACCCCGCCGGGGCTCCCGGAGCCGCTCCCGGCCGGGGGGATCGAGCGGAGCCCGGCTGAGCTCGGCCCAAGGGGGCCCGGCCTGAGCCCAGCCAGGGGGGCTGGGGAGGGGGAACCGAGCCCGAGCCCCTCCTGCCCCTGGGTCTGTCCTGTCCCGAGGGACTGGGGACCCAAAGCTGTCCCCGAGCCCATCCTGAGGGAACTGGGGACCCAAAGCTGCCCCCGAGCCCATCCTGTCCCCTCCATGGGAACTGGGGACCCCTCCCCGAGCAGCTCGGGGCGCCCGGGGGTCGCTGTCCCCTGCAGCCCGTGCTGTCCCCGCGCAGGGAGGGCTCGGTGATGCTGCAGCTCGACGTGGACACGGACAAGGGCGGCCTGGCCGTGAACAAGAACTTCCTGGTGGATTTCGGCAAGGAGCCCCACGGGCCGTGCCTGGCGCACGAGATTCGCTTCCCCGGCGGCGACGCCAAATCCGTGACCCTGCCCTGAGCCAGCCCGGCAGCGCCGCGGGACCCGGGGCTGTGGAGTGCCCTGGGGGATGGCATTGGGACTTTGGGGTGCCCCGGGTGACGGGATTGGGGATTTGGGGTGCCCCGGGTGACGGCATTGGGGGGGATTGGGGTTTTGGGGTGCCCTGGGTGATGGTTTTGGGGGGGATCAGGGCTTTAGGGTCCCCTGGCTGATGGGACCAGGACTGTGGGGTGCCCTGGGTGATGGGATTGGGACTTTGGGGTGGCCTGAGTGATGGGATTGGGGGGTTTGGAGTTTTGGGGTCCCCTGGCTGATGGGATCGGGGCTTTGGGGTGCCCCGGGTGATTCGGGGCTTAAGGATCCCACGGGGGATTCCTGCTTTGGGGTCCCCTCGGGTGATTTCAGGGTTCGGGATCCCCCGGGCCATTCCCGGCCATCCCTGCCCTGTCCCCA